TGTGGACCCCAGTTTTGCTCCGGCTTCCCCTTCCCCCACCATTCCCCATGTTAAGAATATATATAATGCTCTCTCCCTCCCCATCTCTCTTTCTTTCCCTCTCCCCCCTCTCTCATCCCCTCTCTCATCCTTTCTTTCTCTCTTTCTCCCTTTCTCTCTCTCAATCTCTTTCTTTCTTCCTCTTTCTCCCTCTTTCTCATTTCCTTTCCTTACCACCGCTTTGTTCTTCCCTTTCGTACTATTTCTTCAAAATTCGCGTTTTATATTCTTCATCATTTTATTTTTCTTGATTTCATCCTCTTCCTTATTTACTTCCCTCTTCCTTTCTATACCCCTCTGTTCTACCCGTGTTTACAGTTGATGAAAACCGCAAACGCCGCCCAAGCCCTGTGAGGACCCCCCCCCCCCTGAGCGCTAAACCAGATCCCCGCAGCCCCTTGTGAGTACGACAGACCGCCCTGCCTAGCCTACTACTGTCTACCTCAGTCCACGATTGCCCTGCTCGGCATCCCTTCTTGTCTCCCCTTGACATTTCGCTCTCAGCCGAGTTAGTGCTCTTCGCTCTGTTTAAATGTTGCTCTTTGCACATCTCGCTTTCTCCCGGCATGCGAAACGTATTTGTTTTGGGCGTGTGAACAGCTAGAAGGAGGGCCAACCGTGTAGAGATGACACTTCGTACACACAATTTGCACCAGACTTAAGGTATACCATGTTTGTCTGTCTTCACAAAATGTCGCGGAGAATAAATACGACAGGGACAAAATAACAGAAAAACAAAAATAAATCAACAGTGCGTTGCCAAACGCAACAAAACGAACCGTATTTTCGAAAGAAGAAAGGAGGAACAAACAAACAACGGGTAACCCCCCCCCCCCAATAATATAAGGGGAAAATGACAGTGACTGAAAGAAAAAATAATGTTCTAAGAAATAATCACGAGTTTGTATCGTCCTTCCTATTTGCGAGCATCTTAGAAAAGTCAAGAGGCTCTTTCTTTTAAAGTTCAGATTTAAAATATCCCAAAGCCAAAAGCCAACTGCAGCTCTCCATGTTTTATCTGGTACTTATTAGATTTAAGCAATGGAATCTTGAAAACGGTTCTATATAAAAAACGACCAAACGTTTAATTGATAAAGAGTTCGTCAAATTAGTCTTTGAAGATGAAAAAACAAACAAACAAACAAACCAAAACACAAAACACACACACACACACACACACACACACACACACACACACACACACACACACACACACACACACACACACACACTCTAAAACAAGCCAACCCCCCCCCCTAAAAAAACAAACCAAAACAAACCCAACCGACTAAACAACTAACCAAACAAACAAACAAACAAAACATCCGAAGAAAGACATGCTCAACCAGATAAAAGTTTGTACACGTTAATCAGCCTTTTTTTCGAACGTTTTTAATCAGTTTGTTATCATTAAGAACTCAATGTGAACCCCTTTCAAAGCTTGAACCTTTGCTTTCCCTGTACAGAGACCAGGCTAGGAAGACAACAAAGAACGAGACAAAATATTATTTGGACCCCACCCATACTTTCGCTAGCTGGCCAAGTTGATAATTTTGCTCAGCCACACTGATGAAAAAAGAACAAAACACAATTGCGCAAAACCAACGAAACGTTGGAAATACATATGTTGGGGGGGGGGGGGGGGGAAACAGTACAAAAGGTGGAGTAAAATAATGCTTGACCTCCCCCCTTTCTAAACAAACACACACTAACCACCCGTGGTTATTTTTTCTAAACGAGACCTGGTGGACGGCATTTTTCTCTGTCAAATGCGATCTCTACAAACAGTGTTGGTATTTGAATAATTATGAAAAATATGAATGCATGAAAAAACATTATGATATACACGCGGATTTAACATTAGCAAGACAATTTCATACTTAGTAGGACAAACACATGCTTGTAGAGATACATGTCATTAACCCCTGGGTCCACCTCAGGCCGGCAGGGATTATTGATCTCAACTAGGAACCTCGTCCAAGTCTCCCCCCCACCCAATCCCCACCCGATAACTAGAATTTTTTTGTCCTCTTCTCTTGTTAAGTTAAAACTGCCATTTCAAAGTCACAAAGTCTATCTAACTAGTAACACTTTTCCGTACGATTTATATGCCCATATAAAATATATGAAAACAAAACCATAGATAATATGTACGAAATCATGACGACTTTTGTATCGAGAGATGACTAATTGTGGTATGAAATCCAGGTTAAGAGCCTAATACTAAGCTCCAGAGGTACATTTCATTATAATAAGAAAGTCTTTCTTTTGCTCTTCACGCAGACAGCTAATTCTATTTTGGGTGTTAGGAAAATTATGGTCCCTAAGTGGGCTTCGCAGCACATCAGCTGACCTTATTTCAATACTTCCTCCTTATTCCGTTAATGGTCTCAATGACACGTCTCGCTATAATCAGATCCCTTCCTGAACACAAAATCTATCTTCTAATTTAAGGACATATTTGGTGAAATCCCCTACATCCAGGGCCAAAACATGACTTCTATTGTGACATAAATATAAACGTAATCGCCCATTGCTGAAGCCTTACCAGATTAACACAAGGATTTCTGAGAATAAAGATGCTATCAACACGCACAGCTCATAATCCAGTAAAGATAATCATGTTGATGAGATTAAAAATTAATGACACGCAAGGATGACATGACATGAAGGCACACTTTCGTGAATGACGTCACAATGCGACGGTAACATTTACATGAGATCAGAGACGATCAAAATCAGATAAAATTCTTGGAGGTACAAAAACTCAGGGGCTACTTGTCAGTCTTTCTCTCCTCATCAATCTCACTCTTGACTTTCATGTGCTTTGTTCGAAAAAGAAAAAAGAAAATGATAAAGGGAGGGACGAAAAAAACAAAGTGGGGATTTGGGGGTCGGGGGGGGGGGTTACCTAAAGATACTTTTATCTGTTCATAAACTAACTTTGTTTTAATTGAAGCGAATGGCCTGCAAGGCTTGGGGGAAAGTGTTAAGTGGGGCTCTGGAAGTGACGGGGAGGGGTTATCAGAAAAGTTTGCACGAGATTATAAATGTTGTACAACATGATTGAGTCTACACTAACTGGGAGGTAGTCTGTTTTGTCTTGTCTGTCAGGGCTTTTCCAAAGTGAATAAAAAAGGCTAAGAAGATACTCCATACTTATCACCCCTCCCGTTTTTACGAAAGAATCGAACTCATATCGTTTGCATTTCCCAACAGAGAGCCTTATCAGTGTGTCAGAGAATTGAAGCCAGTTCCACTAACAGCAACCACCCATAAGGTTGGTCACCTTTCCTTTTAATGAAAATCTCAAATCTTGAATGTTAAAGTTCGATATAGCACATTCTTATTTTGGTTGGCAGTGCCCCATCTCTCACCAAGCGGTCCATTTATTAGTAACGATAAGACAAGCTGTAAAACTTTCCCGTTTTTTTTTTCAATTACTGGAATACAAATACATTGATATAAGATATTATAAACAGTTTCTACACTTAATTAAATGTTTACTTTCTACGGTAATTCAAGGAGTTTCCAAAATTGCTTTAGCATTTATTTTAGCCTGTCACAGTGTGCTGTCGTGCCAAAAGGCGATGATATATCATGTTCACTTAATGTTGTTCTACGTTCAGTTTTGACCCCCGCCCCTTTCCCAATCCCCTTTTTCTGATTTAGCAATTAGTGTTAAGGAAAACTATGCCTCTATTTTTTTCTTAACCGCAAACAAAAATAAAGGCACATTAACTTTAAAAAAAAAAAACACGTCAAGAAAGGTCACTGGTAGACATGCTCCGTTCAAATACGCAACCAGAAACGACAGTGTTTACTGAGACGTGATAGATAATGGGACAAAAACTGGCACATTCCTAACGATAACGGATCCCTTTCCTCGTTTACATTTTACAGACGGAATGGGCCATTAAAAAATTGGAGTGCTTGACACGACATGAAAACGAGGGGAACAAAGGATGCCGTATGTCAGGTTAAAACGTAAAAATAAAACCTCACCAAAAACCAACCTCGAACCTCGCCCTCTCACCTGATATTAAATATGTTAAAGAAATGTCAAACTGTAATATAATGTCCCCCCCCCCCCCCCACCCTCCCCTCCACCAACTATGACTCACGAAAAGAGCAACTATAAAAATAACCAGAGGAGAAGAGAAAAAAAGAAAAAAGAAGAGGTATATAAAATAAAATAAAACAAAATACAATGAAATAAAATGAAATAAAATAACGGAAGACAATGAATGGATACATTCTTAATTACATGTATTGTCTTAATCTGCAAGACCACCAGTAAATTCTGACTTATCTTTTCGTACAATGTCTTTTTTTTAAGAAGACTGGAAAAGACAATGAATTTGGTGATGAATGTGACGGAAACACTAGCTAAGCCTGGGTCAATGAAACAATGTTTGAGCGCTATGACACATGATTATGAATCATACTGCTTTATTCCATGGGTTCATAAATAAAGTTTACCAGCAGAAGCAAAAAAGAAATGACCTTAGAAATATCAAACATATTATGGCATTAAATGGTATGGTATTTCTTGGCATAGATAAAACACCTCTCTCACCTTCAAATCTAACATCTTCCACTTCTTGGAGAGAGCCACGCTGGCGGAAAACCTTAAAGACTCTACAGACTATCCAACTTTAAGAATATCCCACGGAAAACACGAACCGTAGTTAAGCACGATATCCAATGGGCGAATGGTTCACACCTAGGCGCTATCTAGAATATTGCTCTCATTATTTCACAATATACATCCTGGTTCCCCCCCCCCCCCCACAACAGCAACAACAACAGCATCAACAGCAATCAAAATAGACACCAGTCAGCTTCACATTGCTTCCTATTCTCATACATGACACAAGTACAAGTCCCCACTTCCCCCCTCATCCGTCTCGTGAAAAGAAAAACAAGAGAAAACAAGCTACTACCTTCATCATCCCCCATTCCCATCTCGCCACCAAACACACACAAAACAGTATGATTTGTCAGCATCAAGGTCACTTCATATTTACATATTGCAACTGCGTTATTTCTGGGCCAAAGAACACTTCCATTTTGTTTGACAGCTTACTCAGGTCATCACAGTCTTGAAAAAAAACAAACAGTAAAAGGCGGGATATCTGGTGCAAAAGAGAAGTCTTTTATGTCCACAACACCATACTCAAAATGCATTCGCTAGAAGAAAGCGGTAAGAAGAAAAAGTGATTGAAAAGTTTCATTCTTTACTGCATTTGGTAATTGCATTCATGCGATCAAGTAATGGATTCCGTAACCATCCCTACAGGATGGAGGATATTTGACGTCTGTACAAATGTTATGGTAGAACAATAATTGTTCCATAGAAGCTTGTGTCCTACATGGTAGAGCTTCATTGCCCGTTCACACTTTGTACTTTATGGAAGAGCATTATGTGTCCATAAACGCTTCTGTACTTCGTGAAAGAGTATTCAGCGCCAGTTGGCTTATTTACCCTACAATGACAAGTGTGTGTATTCGACAAGAATATCATGTGTAAGCTTTTTAAAAGAACTTGAACCCAAGAGGACGTTCGAACAGTGTGAGAAGACATTTTACCGCCGACACACACAAAGGTATAACACAAGAGGCGATCTCACGTCACTCTGTTCTCCCGAACTGTGTGAAAGGTATCTTTGCGTATCTAAACGCATTGGCGGATAGAAGTACTGTGTTTATGTATCTCGGTCGTGCGTGTTCAGTTCCAAGAGGAAAGACATAGACGTTTCCCCTACAACAGAGTCTCGGACGCCTTTTCTTCCTTTTTCTCCCCGTTGTTGTGCTTCCCGTTAATGGAGACCCAGGTCCCCTTGCTCTTTGTACTCGCCTGAATGCTCGTGCGCAGGCTGGAGTAATCACGCGGAAGTGTGGAAGCCAGTTTTCTGAACGGTCTAAGCAGCAACTTCTTCAACTCTTGACGGAACATTTTGCCCGTGATGAGGTATATGAAGATGTTGAACGCGTAGTGAGTGTTTCCATACTCGTTGATGATGGTCTGGGCGAAGTAGTACACAGGGTCCATCTGGTACTGTACCCTGAGAGCGTAAAAGATGGACACGGGTAAAGTCGTTATGATCTGGTAGAAGGAGACGGCGAGTAACATGACAGTTGTACTGCCCGTGCGGGAGGGAGAGCCGTGCTGGTGAGCCTGCTCCATTTGTGACAGTCGTCTCATCTCTCGAATTACGAAGATGTTCAACACCAGAATAGTGATAGGCACTAAGAAGAACGCAAGTCCTTCCACGCACATGGAGTAAACGTTAAACACGGACTTGTTCTCGCCCTCGAGCACCTCCATCCTTGGGTGACATTCGTAAACAGACGTGCCGTTCACTGGGAGCAGGATGTAGAAATATGAGTTGACACAAGTCGTGCACAGACAGAAGACGATAAGGCACGCGATAACGATCTTGGCTCGCCGCACAGTACAGTAGCTCTCCCGCTTAAATGGGTGGCAGATAGAGATGTATCGTTCGGTGGTAAACGCCAACACGAGATATGGAGACAGGCACTGTGTGGCGAGATACACCGTTGGGAACACTTGGCACATGACAGGATAGGAGATTACCCTCATCAGCCAGGCTGTCTCCAGCTCGAAGAGAACCTGCAAGAACAGGAACACGAGATCGTTGAGGGCGAGGGCGGCTAGATAGTAGCCTGACGAGTGACGCATGCGCTTCTGCATCCATATGATAAGTGACACTGTGTTGCCAGGGAAACCTATGACGTAGATGATAGGGCTACAGATCTTGTCCACTAAGTTGCCAGCCCCTTTGAGATAAGCTTCGGTACTTGTGGGGTAAGCCTCGGTGGAGTTCGAGAAAATTCCAGAGATGTTTGCGAACTCGGATGAGTTCTCCATGGTGACTACGCCCTGAAACAGATACAAAGAAGAAAAAAACAAACATGTTAGATATATGTCCATCTTTGTGGGGTGTCCGATTCTCATCAAGCTTGAGATCAAGGACGGATCCTCAACAAAAAAATGCAAATAAATAAGCAAATAAACAATCAGGAAGACATATCAGCGGAGTTTTAAAAGGTGAACAAACATATTATTATGTATCAGACACTTCGAGAGAAAAAGAGGCGTTTTCTCTTCGTGTTTGGGCCCAAGAAAGAAAGGTAAAGAATGAAGGGGATATTTACTCAGACAAGCGAAAGAATCAACAAGTTACTTGAGTTTGATAATAGGGACGGGTCCTTAAAGGCTGAAAGTTAAAAAAAAAGTAGTCAACTTTTTTTAAACTGAGGATTTAGATGTATATTTACTAAAGGCGCAAAGGATATCAAAATGCCAATTCAAAGGCCCTTGATATACACTGTTGCGAACAATTAAGTACATCCCAAAGGAGGATGTATTTACCTTCTAAGCAAGCCTTGGAATGGAGACGTGTTTAAACAAGCACTTCGTATTCTCCCCAACACTTTGGGCTAGAGCTAAGGGTTTCCATAGTCCTACCAGTCACGATCGACACTGATAGACCTTTTGAGGGTGCGCTGCTGTTAACATAAGAAACTCGGTTAGCTTTATGCTGCACTGCAGTTCAGACGACCTGGAATAGCATTCAGAACTGAACATCTTTGAACTCCTTTCACTTGATGAGTTATTTTATGGCACTCTTCCCGCTTGGCTCCTTCCTGTCGGAGACGAACGTGATGCTGATGGTCCCACCTCAGACCATACACTACGTTGAAAACGGCTCTAAACCCAGACCACAACATGCTCCACTTGGACTTTAGAATGTTTAAGAGCAGAGCAGAGCAATAGTTATATAGTACCTAAAAAAAAAAAATTGTCTATATGTTCACTAACTTTGAACCGCCTTCTTTTCGAGTCTCTCGAAGTCCTTCAGTCCTTCAATGTCAAAATGGGAACTCTTGGGCAAGAAGAATTTGCCCTATCAAGCGATCAAATAGACAAACAAGTCGTTGGCTTGACAAGATGAGTAAACGCCGAAACAGATAGAGAGAAGAAAGGCAGCAAGTCATCTCTTTGGCAGTCTTAGTTTAGTTTTCGTGACACTGTAATGCACACCCTTAGGTCATTTAAGTGCGGAGAAGTAGATTACGGCAAGAGTGAAAAGGGGGAAAATCTAAAAAAGGAAACATCTCTAATGATCGCTCATTCTCATCTCCCCCCCCCTCCCCAAATCACCCGACTACTTTGAATTATGGAAAAGCACAATACTTTGACACTTGGACCCGAGATGCACAAGACCAAAACAATAAACAGAACAAGGGAAACAAAGAGATGAACAGATGAAAACAAATTTAATTGACTAACAGAAAAAAGCAAACAAAGAAGAACAAAGCGTACAGAAAGAAAGGAAAATAGAAGGACAGAATGGAAAAGCATAAAGAAGCCCCCCCTC